TGAATAGATCGCGGGAGCGGGAGCTGGAGTGGGAGTGGGAGCGGGAGCTGTCATAACATTCCTGGATTGGATTCGGGAAGCACAATACAGCATTGAATAGAGCGTGAGGGATGCAGGGGTTAACTTTTGACGTTAACCAGGGCAGTGATAGCAGCCAATCACCTGCTGCTTAATACAAAAAGTTAACCCCCGCAGCTCTCGCACTCTATTCAATGCTGTGCTTCCCGTATCCGATCCAGAAATGTTATGACAGCTCCCACTCCCGCGATCTGTTCAATTCAGTGCTGTTTGTTATGTCATGTTGTGGGGCAGAGCTGTTGGGAGAGATATAGGGGGCAATGCTGTGGGGAGGGAGATGTAATGGGGGGGCACAGTTGTGGGGGGGATGTGAAGGGGGCACAGTACTGCTGAGGGTTATGTGAAGGGGCAGAGGACAGTACTGTAGGGGAGATATGTGAAGGGGGCAGAAGACAGTAGTGGGGGGTGGGGGTGATGATTTGAAGTGGGGTTGAGGACTGCTAAAAAAAATATTGGGGGTGTACTGTAAAGGGGTGGGGGGGGTTATGTACAAGGAGCCTGAGGACACTACTGTGAATGTGAAGTTGGGGACTGTGACGTATAGGGGGGACTGAGGATACTGAAGTATAGGGATTGTGATATACAGTAGGAGAGGGCTGAAAAAAATGGGGTTCGGGACCTCTGTTGGAAGAAAATTTTACGGGTCGGACCTCCATGAGTTTTAATTTAGTACCATTGATTTATATGTTCCAGTTATACTCCATAATACAAAATACATACAATTGTCAGGGTTGGTGGGAGCCCCCAGGTGTTCAGACCCAGGAACACAGCACAGCCCCCCAATAAAAGACACTGTCTGGTGTTCTATCTCTCCAGCATGCAGCACACAGTTGATTTCATTCATCCTTGTGGGGATATACACCAATCAGCCATAACATTATGACCACTGATAGTTAATGTGAATACCATGAATGATGTCATTACAATGGCATGTGACAGTGGGTGGGATATATTAGGCAGCAAGTGAACGTGTTGTCCCTGAAGTTGATGTAAGGATTTGAGCGACTTTGACAAGGGCCAAATTCTAATGGCCAGACAACTGGGTCAGAGCAACTCCAAAACTGCATCTCTTGTGGGATTTTCCTGGTCCGCAGTGGTCAGGACCGACCAAAAGTTGTCCATGAAAGGAAAACTGGTAAACTGGCTACAGGGTCATGGGTGGCCAAGGCTCACTGATCCACATGGGGAGAGAGGGCTGGCCTGTGTAGAGCTAGTTAATGCTGCTTGTGCTGTGTATGGGGCTGTGTAGCCCTAGACTGGTCCGGATGTTCATACTCCGCGTTCCACTAAGGGATATCAATGCTGCTCCCGGGAGGTCAAGGGTCTCAGAAGACCCAACTGAAGAAATTCATTTTGGCAGAGGACATGGGGGAACGCAGTTCCAGCACCTCCAGCACTGAATGTATGTAATGGCAAGGGGGGGTGCTGGAGGATCTATTGATGCTGGCTGCTAGGGGATCTATTGTCACTGGTGGGGGTCTATGTTTGTTGCTGATGGGGGATGTATTGTTGCTGAGGAGTCTTATGTTGCTGGTAGGGATCTACTGTTGAGGGTGAGGTTTCTGGCTGCCAGGAGATCTGTTGTTGCTGCTGGGGGTAATGATGCTAGGGAAGATCTTTTGCTGCTGGGGGTGAAGTTTTGTTGTGGGTGGTCCATTGTTGTGTAGGGGATCTATTGTTGCTCGTGTGGGGTATATTGTTGCTGGTGGGGGAGCTATTGTTGCTGTAGGGTCTTATGTTGCTGGTAGGGATCTACTGTTGAGGGTGAGGTTTCTGGTTGCTGGGAGATCTGTTGTTGCTGCTGGGGATGTGGGGTTAATGATGATGGGAAAGATCTTTTTGCTGCTGGGGGTGACGTTTTGTTGTGGGTGGTCTATTGTTGTTGTGTGGGGGATCTGTTGTTGCTGGTGTGAGGTATATTGTTGCTGGTGGGGGAGCTATTGTTGCTGTGGGGTCTTATGTTGCTGGTAGGGATCTACTGTTGAGGGTGAGGTTGCTGGCTGCCGGGAGATCTGTTGTTGCTGCTGGGGAGGTGAGGTTAATGATGCTGGGGAAGATCTTTTGCTGCTGGGGGTGAAGTTTTGTTGTGGGTGGTTCATTGTTGTTGTGTGGGGGATCTATTGTTGCTGGTGTGGGGTCTATTTTTGTGTGGGGGATCTATTGTTGCTGGTGTGGGGTCTATTTTTGTGTGGGGGATCTGTTGTTGATGGGGTGGGGTCTACTGTTACTGAGGGGATCTATTGTTGCTGGCTGCAGGGCATCTATTTTACTGCTTTCCTTGTTATCTGTAACAAGTTCCATACAAATTATTTGGCACCAGAAAAATGATACTTGGTTCTGCATTCTCTAAAAGGGGCGGTACTGGGTGGTGGAATCAAAGGGCGATTCTCAGAGGAGGGTAGGGGGCGGAGAGAATGGGGAGACTCCATGGGCAGACTGACCATTTGGAAACTCGGGCACTGCCCGAGGGCCAGGGGTCAGTAGGGGGCCCCATGAGATGCCCCTGATACCTTTTTCATAGGATTTTTGAGTTTGGCCAAGGACACAGGGGCCCCATGATCCCCTATTGCCCGGGGGCACTATGAGTTGTCAGTCCGCCCCTGGGGGACGCAGAAAGGGGGAGTTCCTGCACCTATTCACTGAGGAAAAAAAACCCCGTTTTCTGGGCAGAATTGCTATTACACCCCGGTCACACCAATCCGACATTGATCATGTGACTTCCAGCAAAGTCGCACGATTTCAAACTACGATGGCATTCCGATTTGAGGTGTGACTTGCAAGACGTCTGCAGCTTTAACAGACACAGATGTCTATGCAAGTCGCAGCAAACGTAGTGCATGCCCCAAGTCAGAATCGCACCGATATGACTGCTGTAATTGCGGACAGTAGGGAGCGACTTGCCGTGCGATTAGCGAGTCTCATGGCATGGCAAATCACTCTGGGTGTGACCGGGATCTTACTGGCCTTGCTCTGTAAATGCTCGTTGCCTGACAGCCAGGTGGCTTACATGTCCACAATGTGTCTCCACAATGGCTGTCTCCATGTTTCTCCCAGGGAAGGTTGCCTTTACCTTCCCTTCTTCCCTTCTCCATATGATGTTGTTGAGGCTGCCTGTTATGAACTGAAACATGTAAAATTGGCCTTTCAGGATATTGTTTTGGATTATTTTCATTTTCTGTAACTGTGTCGCTCTAACCTGGAACATTTGATCGAATTATCTGGAAATGTCCTGAGCAGAAGCTAGCTGACCTGGAAAGGAAGCGATAAAATGTCTAGGTAAGGATTGGACTTACCAACACTGCCATCTGCTGACAGAATTACAAATAACCTCGCCTTCAACTATATGGGACATCCTCCAGGACAGTTGGAGAGCAGTTTGTTGTTTTGTTTTTTCTAGATCAGTGTTTCTCAACCTTTTTTCAGTCAAGGCACCCTTTAAAATATGGACAGTCTCAAGGCACCTCATTTTAAAATGTGAAAAACTATTCTAATAGTTTTATAGATGTCTCCTCCTCCCATGCCTGTCTCCAGGACTTCTCCAGAGCTTCCCCCATCCTCTGGAACTCTCTACCCTAATCTATCAGACTATTGCCTACTCTGCTCACTTTTAGGCGATCTCTGAAAACCTGTCTCTTCAGGGAAGCCTATCCTGCCTTCGGCTAATACTGGAATCTTCTACTCTTCCAACCAGTCCATCCCCTACAGTTACAACCTTTTGTACCACTAGCCCCTCCCTCCTAGATTGTAAGCTCCCAGGATCAGGCCCTCCTAACCCTCTTGTATTGAACTGTATTATTGCTGTATTGTCTCCCGTTATATTGTAAAGCGCTGAGCAAACTGTTAGCGCCATATAATTCCTGTATAATAATAATAATAATAATAAATAAATAATAATAATGCAGCAACATCCACACATGTGGGACACCCAACATTAGAGGTAATTTATTCTTCCCAAGTAAATACACTTTTGCACACTGGTACTGACTAGTATCCCTATGTTTCTCCTCTCCCTCAGTTTTCTCACTGAGCTAATGTGACCCCAGCACTGATGGAGAGGGGCAGGGGAGGGTCAAACTAGGATGGTGTGCAGACAACTGACATCCTCCTTATCAACTGATGATGTAATTGGTTGTCAGGACCCCAGCGGATAGAAGGTCCTAATGGTGCACAATGAAAACCTGTGGCTTTCTGTAACTAAAAGGCAGCTGATCTAGACAGAGGCTTAGTAGTCAGTCTGCGAGTGAGGTAAAGAGGTCACCTCAAGACAGACTTCTGGAGCCCTCTCACTGTTCCAGAAACTTCCAGAACTTTCCAGAAGAGGAGGGGAGGAGGCCCAGATCTGCATGTATCCCACCCCTTGCATTTACAGTTTTGATGGACACATAAAAAAGGCAATGACTTCTAATTACTCCCTACAGAGGAAGGATCGACAGTTCATACATGACCCAGATTGTGAGTTCTGGTCTGATCACCATTGTATTTTGAAGTTTATTTTGTATAGTGAATTCATGATTGGCCAGTATAGCTGATACCTCCCATTTTTATTCACTTAAAGGAGACCTTTTAAAAAGGTTGGCTATTTGTTGGTCCATTTACCTTTGTGGTTGGCACCTTCACAAATCCTAGATTGCGTTAGGGACCGCTCTCTTGACAGCTCTTTAAAAGTGGACCTTGCAGTATAAAGTTCCCTTCAAGCTGCACAGGCCCATGCCCCCTTTTTTAATTCGCTATGTTAGTAGGTACAAAATCTACCTGTACCTGTACCTTCTGCTAGAAAGACACGGGGTTATTTATTAAAAGTAGAGAGTGCAAAATCTGGTGCATCTCTGCATAGAAGCCAATCAGCTTCCACATATTTTTCAAAGCTAAACTGAACAAGCTGAAGTTAGAAGCTGTTTGGCTACCATGTACAGCTGTACCAGATTATGAGTGCACCAGTTTTAGTAAATCTACCCCAGTGTGGAGGCGGACTGACCATTTGGAAACTCAGGCACTGCCGAGGGCTCGGGGTCAGTAGGAGGCCCCATGAGATGCCCCTGGTACCGTTTTTCATAGGCTTTTTTGAGTTTGGGCAAGGACACAGGGGCCCCATGATCCCCTATTGCCCAGGGGCCCTATGAGTTGTCAGTCCGCCCCTGCCCCACTGTCTGCTTTTTTGGTCAATAAGTGTGTAGTACCCTCCTAGGTAGCTAGGGGAACCTATGTTAACCTCCCTGGTGGTATGATTATTTTAGATTTTTTGTGCTGAAAGCAGTACCATTATTTTGCATGGAAATATGTATTTTTTTTATTGTAGGCCTGTAATTTTTAGGAATAACTCACTGAAATCTGTCCAAACAAGAGTCTATTAAACATCCCGGGTATGATAAAACTTGAAACACAAAATCATAAATTAAAATTTAATAAATAATCATAAAAAATAATAATATAATAATAATAAATTTAATTCAATAATATAATCAAACCGAAAACACTGAAATTTGAAATAGAGCGCCAAGTTCGCACATCACTGAGCAAAGTCGCAAAATCGTTTTCAGTGTCTGATGACGAATTTCCCCACAAATCATTATCACTCAATTCTGCAAGTGGTTCTGATTTACTATCGCTGTTCTCTAGCTGATCTAAAACCGCTTTTGACCTAAAGGGACGCTTTTTGGATGCCATGGACTTTTCTAAGTTTCCAGGCAGAAAGAACAGTCAAAATGCAGGCAGGGCGCCGGACAAAGCACTCGGGACAAAATGTATGTGAAATGGGTTGAAACAGCAATGTTTTACTATGTAAAATTTGTTTTGAAAAAAATGACATTTTTTTAAATTTTCAAATTTCCCGCCGGCGGCGGCGGCGCCCGTACGTCCCGACGTCACAGGGACCGGAACACAGAAGCGGGATGCCGGCATCGGCCAGAGGAGATGGCCGGGGACGCTGCAGGGGACACATCACGGGAGCGAAGGACAAGGTAAGCTCTGCAGGGACTCCCTATGCAGTGCCACATGGTAAGCCCGAGTGTAGCTCGGGGTTACCGCTTTTGGCACTGACATTTTACCCCGAGCTACACTCGGGAATACCACCAGGGGGGTTAATGAATTTTTAGAAGGCGGATGAATAGCTGTCGGAAGCACAAGCCAGCGGGTCAAATTTGGGTTGGGGCAGAGAGGCTTTGCAGATCAGCTCTCTGAATCCTCCCCCTAATCTAGACTTGGAGAAGTCTCTAGAATTTATTGAGCGGGGGGTGAGGAGGAGCTGGTCTGCACTCTCAAGGGATCTTGGCCAGTCCCCAAATAATGACCATATCAGACTGCAACATTGCTGAATACAATCAGTAATTGTCAGATACAACGGGCTAACAAATGTATATTAAAATTACAATGCCGAAGAGCAATGAACAAAATGATCTTATTGTATAGAACAATGGCGCTCTTAAAGGGGAATAGTCACCCAGAAATTACTAAACATAAGATTACAATAAATGAACATGGCATATAAATAATATTGCATAAAATAATTATTATTAGTAAAAATAATGGAACTTAATCCATACTACCTATACTATTTGAGTTAAAATACTATTTTTATTTTTATTATTATTTACTATTTTTTATTGAGTTAAAATACTATAAAATACTATTACATACTATTTGAGTTAAAATGAGTGACACAGCTGCAGTTTAACTAAGTGACTGCAGGGTATAAATACCTTCTCCAAAATGGTGGAATTTGCACTTCCTGAAGACGATCCTTGATCAAAACGCGTCAAGGTTTGATGACGCACCTTCTGCGGAAAAAATGGCAGCAGATACGCTGAACTGATGAGTCAAAACTTGAAATATTTGGCCGTTGCAAAAGGCAGTTTGTTCATGAAGGGCTGGAGAGCGGCACAATAATGAGTGTCTGCAGACAACAGTGAAGCATGGAGGAGGTTCCTTGCAAGTTTGGGGCTGCATTTCTGCAAATGCTGAGAAATACAGGCAGATCCATCATGCCCCACCATGCCTGACTATTCCTGATGAGTGCTAGTACCTGGCCAATACGTTCTTGTTTGCATGGTATGTATCTGGAGGGATTATGACTTATATACCTTTAACAAATTTTGTATGTGGTCTATTACTCCAAGTAGCTACTTACAATTTGGAGAATCTCATCAATACTTTTTCTCTATAATTTTTTTCCTCTTTGAGGGTTTGTACTTTTTGACCAACTTTGGGGAGTAGGGGTGTAGTTGGTACTATGTATAGGGGGTGACTCTTTACTATTTTTCTTTTTAGATCAAGTGCATTTTGTGATCCCCTAAAATGATGACTTTGTCTTCCGCAAGTCTTCAAATATATTTGTACTTTTTCTTAATCAATGATCACTTCTTCTGGTTGTTGGAGGTCCCTCCTTGTTCATCCAGATACTTCTGATCTATATCTAGCAGGAGCTATCCAGGAATGTGCTGGTATCATCAGCTGATAATTGCTGTCTCTGTGCTCATTTAGCTGTGTTATGCTTTGTACAATTTATGTATGATTAATTATTGAGCATATGTTTTTGGTTTGGTGTTGGTTTATTGTAGGGATTTATGTTCTGTTTTGTTCCCTGAGGAAGTGGGCTGCGTCCCGCAAAACACGTTGGTTTTTACAAGTAAAACACCTCTCATGGTTTCAAGTGGATATCAATCAATCATTGGTTTCTCAACACCTAGGACGTTGTCTAGTTATTATTATTATTATTATACAGTATTTATATAGCGCCAACAGTTCCCTGTACATTACAATGGGGGACAATAGTTAGGTGTTTTTTTTTTTTCAACACCAATATACTGTATGTCTCCACAGTTAACCATGTATCCTTGTATATTATTTCTATAGTTTTTTTGTTCTTATGTAGTGGCTGCTTGTTGTTGCGGCTGACACCCATGATGCCCTAGCATCTAGGACGTCAGTCACAGCTTACTGAGGCCTTTCCTTTTTGTTGATTGCAATTTTATGTTTTCTCATGTTTATGTTTTATCAATTTTTTCCACCCATAGGTGGTTTTTTAACCTAATAAAAGGTGTTCAATTTTATCTTTTGTTTATGCGTGTATTCTATATTTCTAGTGTTATGGTGTGGTACCTTTAAAGCCCCATTAGCTTTTTTGGGTAGGGTCTTTTCAACTACAATAATGAGTGTCTGCAGGCAACATGGTGGAGATTCCATGCAAGTTTGGGGCTGCATATCTGAAAATGGAGCTGGAGATTTGGTCAGGATCAATGGTGTCCTCAATGACTGACAAATACAGGTAGATACTTATCCATCATTCCATACCATCAGGGAGGCGTGTGATTGACCCCAAATTTATTTTGCAGCAGGACAATGACCCCAAACATACAGCCAATGTCACTAAGAACAAACCTCAATGTAAAGAATAACAGAGAATCCTGGAAGTGATGGTTTGGCTCCCACAGAGCCCTGATCTCAACATTATGGAGCCTGTCTGGGATTACATGAAGAGACAGAAGGATTTATGGCAGCCTACATCCATAGAAGATCTATGCTTAGTTCTCCAAGATGTTTGGAACAACCTACCTGCTAAGTTCCTTCAAAAACTGTGTATAAGTGTGTCTAGAAGAATTGTTGATGATGTGATGGCAAAGGGAGGACACACCAAATATTGATTTGGATTTCTGTTCTGTTTATTTTCTTTTAATTTTGTTAATTGATAAAAAATAAATTATTAACAACATTTATTTCTGAAAGCATTCTTAATTTACAGCCTTTTGTTTCACACCTGCCTAAAACTTTTCCACAGTACTGTAAGTGGTGTTTTTTTTTGTGCTGTCATTGACTTCTATGGGCCTCCCAAGGCACTAAGACACAGAAAAAAAGGACATGTATTTTTTTTTAAATCACCTACCGCGCTGAGATGGAAAGAGACTATCTGTATCTGAAAGTTTTAGCATGTTGGAACATGTGCATTAAAACACCACACAATAGTTCCTAACGTTTTGTAGCTGTATAGTTCTTCATGAAGAGGACCGGCTGCCAGAGCAATGAGGAATTAGGTAAGTATTACAGCCCATTCCTCTACCCCTAGATGTAAAGTGTATGTATACCCAAACTTTTTTTTTCCAGTTTTGGATAAAGTAGGGAAGGGTGAAAACTCCAGTCAGTTCATTATTTCTCTCGGTGTCCATTTGGTGAGATTTCTCTTTATTCCTATTCTGGAAATAGAACAGGAAGTGAGAGTAAATCTCTACAAAGTGAGAGAAGTTCCCCTCTAAGGAAGCTGTCTCCAGAACAAGTGGAACAAGTTTGAAGATGTACTCCTGGTCTGGGGACAACTGTACACCAATGGCTTTCCCAATATATTCTGATCAGTGACAATAGCCAACAGGATAAACAATTAACAAAAGGTTTTGGCTGCAGTGTCCATACACTTTAACCTCCCTGGCGGTATTCCCGAGTGTAGCTCGAGGTAAAGTTTCAGCACCACAAGCGGTAACCCTGAGCTACACTCGGGAATACCCTGCAGCGCTGCTCTGGGATCCCTCCAGCACTTACCTTGTCCTGCGCTCCTGCGATGTCCCTCCTGCAGTGTCCCCGGCAATGTCCTCCGGCGGATGCCGGCATCTGTCTTCCAGGTTCCATCCCCTGCGAGTGTCGGGACGTACGGGGGACGGAATGGCGGGAAATTTGAAAATTTGTAAAAGTGACATTCACTAAATTCACTAAAATCACATAGTAAAACATTACTGTCTCAACCCATTTCACATACATTTTGTCCCGAGTGCTTTGTCCTGCGCCCTGCCTGCATTTTTATTGTTCTTTCTGCCTGGAAACTGAGAAACGTCCATGGCGTCCAAAAAGCGTCCCTTTAGGTCAAAAGCGACCAGCTAGAGAACAGCGATAGTAAATCAGAACCAATTGCAGAATTGAGTGATAATGATTCGTGGGGGAAATTCATCATCAGACACTGAAAACGATTCTGCGACTTTGCTCAGTGATGTGCGAACTTGGCGCTATATTTCAAATTTCAGTGTTTTTGGTTTGATTATATTATTGAATTAAATGTATTATTATTATATTATTATTTTTTATGATTATTTATTAAATTATAATTTATGATTTAGTGTTTCAAATTTTATCATACCCGGGA